GTTGTAATGTGACAAAATATGGAAAAGTTCAAGGGGTATGAATACTTTTGCAAACCACTGTACATGAATATTAAAATCAACCATGATTAAAAGGTGGTCATATTTAGGCATGAGTTCAACCATAAGTTCAGAGAATTCATTTAAAGTCTTTGGTGTATTTTGGCAGACGATAAATCATCGCGCACAGCAGCGCAGGCGACTGTCCCACTTCAAAAAGGGTCAGTTCAGAGCTCGAGAATGAAACCGGAATGGGCAGTTGTTTACAGACAAAATTTGGTTTAAATACAGTCAACAGACCGCTGCTACGGCCTGAGGACCTCGGCATTAAAGTACCTGCAGTCAGGAGGTAAAAGTTCCACCAGGGCGCTCGACTCACCACTTGACATCCAAGTCTCAGAAATACAGAGAAAGTCCAGCTCCTGTTCGCTTAAAAACTCCCGCAGAATAAATGTCTTGTTCGTTGTTCGTTGATCTGGCATTACCCAAGCACATCCTGATCGGGCCTGCAGCCGACACAGCCTCCGTGTGCGCCAGCGGCCRCAGGTTCTGAAGATTTGCGCCTCGCCGGCGCGGCCGTTGTTGATCAGAGCGCTGATGCTTTGAGCTGATGACTGGTATCAAGCCAGGGGGATCCGATGTCCGGGATAGGTCGGAGAAGCAGTGGTCAGCTTGATGTGATGTCAAGAGATCCATGGTGGAATAATTCCCATGATGYTTCAGCTTTGTCAGCTTCATCAGCAACCCGGTCCGTCTTCCTCGCCGTTCGTGACGCTTCCTCCTGGGAGGTAGCCCTGGGTCCCGATGGGTGGCCAGTAGCCCGAACAGGGGAACTGAAGAATCCTGATGGTCATATGGTGAGAAGTTTTCCAGCAATCCAGAAAAACTACGGAGCTCCAAGAGTGTCTTGCGATCATACTGTATTAATGAAAATACCCCTTTGCAAATATCAAGTAAAAACAGTGGAAGTATAAAATGTATAAAAAGTGCAGGAGCGACAGACGGCAGGCCGTATACACTGGCGCCATCTTGAATCACATTTTCAAATCAAAATCAAAATTTATGCAAATACAAATTAAATAAACAAATTGTAACAAATGCAAATAAAAGAGGACAAAATTACAGTTTTTACATTTTTACCTCTCCGGCAAGCCCACTCTTCCACTTTGCGCCTTTTTTGTCTTTTCCTTCTCTGCCAGCATTTTTTTCATCCTCTTCTCTTCATCAGATGATGTGGCAGTTTCAGAGGAGTTAGATGATGAACTTAAATGTTTTGCTGATGTTTCAGAAAGTTTGGAGGACAGGTTTATTGTCTCTTCAGAGCCCTTTTTAGAGCTACTGTCAGTTCTTTTCAGAGCTGCAAAAACAGATGTAAAACAACAGAGTGATGTGCACATGGCTTAGATTAGGTGGTACTTCATTAATCCAGAGACAATTATGAGGTAGTTTGCTATTCACATACAGTCATAACCATCTAAAAAATACATTAAAACTCAACTTATAAAATGCACAATAAAAATTTATAACTACAACAAAAACAAAAAAAAGACAATAATTTTCCCCTGTCCCACCCTCCCACCAGTACTACAGAGTCTAACACACATGTCAACACAGYAGGACATATATACAGTGGTACCTTGACTTGAAGTGTCCTAATTAACGAGTTTTTTGAGATAAAAGCAGTCTCTCAGATATACAGTATTTTTGCTTTGAGTCGAGAGCTAAAATTCGGGTTACGAGCGAACTTCACACGCCCCACCGCTATATGGTGCCACAAACGCAGGAGTGAACACCGCAACAGGTGTTCACCGTCTCACTCATTAGCTTTAAGCAGTTAGCTCGCAGTTAAAGCATTTGTGTTCCACTCGCAGTTACAGGATTTTTATAAAACTTCACGAACAAGCTTCTGCCAACTCTGGGACCAAAAAAAGTGAGAGCAAAGGACGGCGCTGAGAAAAAGAAGCGGATGATGTGCATTGAACTGAAGAAAGAAATTACTGAAAAACACGAGCAGGGTGTGCGTGTAGTTGACTTAGCAAACCAGTACGAGTGCAGCACTTCCACAGTCTGCACCATATTGAAGCAGAAGGACTCAATAAAGGCTGTAATGCCAGCCAAACGTGTTACAATAATTTCTAAAAAGCGGACATCCATCCATGAAAATATGGAGAAGCTGCTGATGGTGCGGTTGACAGAGAAGCAGCTCACAGGAGATGCAGTGACAGAGGCTTTAAATGTGTGAGAAGGCAAGAGCTATTTACACTGATTTGGTGCAGCAGACTGGCACTTCAACAGATGAAGCATCAGGTGAGATGTTTAAAGCCAGTTGGGGCTGGTTTGACAATTTTAAAAAGAGGACCGGCATACACTCCGTTGTCATGCTACATTTACACCAAACGCGTTGCACGCCTCCAAAAATCTCAAAACACTCGCATCTTGATGCTGGACAGACACAGAATGAAAAGCAGCAGTAGCGGCAGCGGGGTGTGGGAGGAGCGTCTGCCCTCGGCGGGTGAAATAAAAAGAAAAGAAAATGGCTTTGATTTATTTACTAAAGAGCAAGCGAACTTTGCGCACAGCAGATAATTAATTCACCAGATGATTTAGAGGCAATTTCTTCGGTTAGTTTCGCCACTTCAGAAGCTGCCAGCTGACGGACCTTTTTTTTTTTGTCCAGACCAGCTGACCCACATCGGTACTTATTTATCCTGCCAGAAAATCCAACTGCAGATGGTCGATTTCAGCTAAAGAGCTCCTGTCCGTCTGTTTGGCAACATTCAGGAAACTGTCACGTGGAAAAATGAGTCTCTGGATTGGTTGATGCGACGCGTCGAGCAGCAAAAGTTCATATTTTCCAACTCACGTGTCAGACGATGGGACGTGCCATGCGCTTGGAAAATGCTCATGACACGTGCACTGCTTCGAACCGCGCTGCTCCAAATGCGCCAGATGCGCTGCTCGGCTTCTAGACGCCCCTAGATACGCATCCACCATTGACTTTGCCTGTAAACCAGATGCTCCTGATGCTCAAAACGTGTTTGGTGTAAATGTACCATTAGGCATGGTGAGGCAGCAAGCGCGGATACGAAGGCAGCTGAGGATTACCTGAATACTTTTTCTGGAATTATAGCAGCTGAAGGATACGTCCCACAGCAAGAGTTCAACTGTGACTCTTCTGGAAAAAGATGCCAAGGAGGACTTGCATAACAGCAGAAGAGAAGAGGATGCCAGGCCACAAACCTATGAAGGACAGACTAACCCTTGCGCTCTGCGCCAATGCAAGTGGTGACTGTAAGATTAAACTGCTGCYTGTTTATCATTCAGAAAACCCCAGAGCATTTAAGTCACATAAAATTCTGAAAGAAAAGCTGCCAGTTATATGGAGGGCAAACTCAAGGACGTGGGTCACCAGACAGTTCTTTGCAGACTGGGTAAATCTGGTYTTTGGTCCTGAGGTTAAAAAATATCTCCTGGAAAAAAACCTACCACTGCAAACCCTTCTCCTCCTGGACAACGCACCTGCACACCCACCTAACCCTGAAGGTGACATCCTTGATGAGTTCAGGTTTATAAAGATTCTGTACCTTAAACCCAACACCACTTCTATCATGCAGCCCATGGACCAGCAGGTGATTTCTAATTTTAAGAAGCTCTTCACTAAGCAGCTGTTCCGCTGCTGCTTTGAGGTGACYGAGAGCACAAACCTCACCCTGCGAGAGTTCTGGAAGGACCACTACAACATTGCGATATGCCTCAGAATGAYYGATAYGGCATGGCAGGGTGTTACAAAGAGGACCTTGACATCTGCATGGAAAAAGCTGTGGCCTTAGGTTGCATCTGATRCAGACTTTGAAAGACCTGAACCCGAAACAGCAGTGGTGGAAGAGATTGTGTCCCTTGGTAACTCCATGGGCCTGGACATGATCAATGAGCTCATCGAGGAGCACTCTGAGGAAATGACAACGGAGGAGCTAAAGGAGCTACAGACACAGCAGCAGACGGAAACTTTGCAGGAAATAAGGGACACAGAAGAGGCAGAGAAGGTTGTCGCCACAAGAAAGATCAAGGAAATGTTGGGAATGTAGGAGAAACTTTCATACTTTATTCAAAATAAACACCCAGAAAAAGTGACAACCGGGCATGCGACGGCACTTTTTAATGACACTTGCCTAACTCATTTCAGAAACATTCTGAAAGGGAGGAGGAAACAGACTTCACTGGACAGGTTTTTATCAAAACCACCTGCAGATGAAAGTGAAGAAAGCATGGTGAAAARGGGAAACATCAGCGAATAAGTTTCAGTGAATATTCAGTTAAGTTTTTTGAAGTTAAGTTAAATTGAGTTTAATAAGTTTCAGTTATTGATCTCAGCATCTCCTCCACTTTGTCAAGGTAAATGCTGTACCTTTCACAGTGTACTGTACTTACTTAATAAAACTACTGTAGTTCWTTGCAGAAAAATCATTCTGTTTTGTATTTTTATTAAATTTTTGTTATTCATAATGATTTTACTGCTTTAAAAACATGTACAGTAACAAAAGACAGCAGTGTTTTTTGGTGGTCTGGAACAGATTAAGGGCTTTTCAATTTATTTCTATGGGGAACACTGATTTCACATATAAGTAATTTGAGTTAAGAGCTCCATCTCAGAACGAATTAAACTTGTAACTCAAGGCACCACTGTATAAATACATTTTATACAGTGACAAGACTATCACAAGAGTTGATAAACCACCAACTTACCTGATGCCAGCTGCTCTTTTARGTAGTCCCTTTCCTTTGTCAACTCCTCAATCTTTTCACTTTGCAAATCCACTCTCATCTGCATCATCTGTATTTCATGTGATTTTCTTCTATCAGTTAAAGCAGCTGGGGAAATTGATCCACCTAAAAATACAGTCAAAGGATCATTTATAAAAATCATGGAATTTGTTCTTAAAATTCCAATAAGAACACTATAAATAATAATGAATATGATACATGATGATTCGGGGTGAYGTGTCATGTGGACCCCTGAGCCCAGAAAAGACGTGCAGTTTCCRGTTGACCCACACTTTGATAAAGTAAAAGTAGTAAAATACTAATCTTACTTTCCTCCTTTCCTTGTTCTTTATTTGCCAAAACTTAAGCTGAAAGTGCCAGTAAAATTGTTTGGTTGTTAACATCAGAACTGACGTTTTACTGTTCTATATAAGTAATCTGAGTTGATGTGAACTGAAATTCGGATGCGAGTTTTATCTCATTTAACTTTGACACCTTTTATAGGAATACCCACAATTAAGTGTACTTATGATTTGTTCAATTTGTGTAAATAAATGATTGTGTAGTCTTTTATGAATCAACTTGAACTCGTCTGAACGTTCACTTATTGTGTCACTTTTCACTTCGCACAGTCAAGATATTAACAAGTATTGAGAAATACCTTGGTAAAAGTTTCCTCGTAACCTTGTGTATGAGAGATGTGGGAGAAGCTTAATACCACCTTAAGCTCACCTCCTACAATTGCATTAATCTATTTTTAATCTCGGTGTTTTTGTATGCGAGTGTGTTTGAGCTGTTGGTGRTGAAAAACAAATGTCAGTCACCCCAACGTGGACCTTGATTGGCTGTCGTTATGTTTTGRCTTGTTTACCGTAAGCTGATAGGCTGCCAATGAACTGGGGGTGGAGAGCAAGGTGAGGAGCAGCGGGGATTTGAGGAAACAAACAGAAATGGAGGAGCCTGCYAGAGTTGTCKGTCTAATGAACGGGAAATTTACGTTTAAAAAACGCTCTGACGGCAGCATYGATAAAGAGWGATATGCCTTCTTTGCAAAAAGGAGTTTGYTTACCACAGAAGCAGCTCGAGTTTAGCCTACCACATCAACGCAAAGCACCCAGTCATCAGTGCAGCCGCTAATGCTAGCAGTGAAGAAGTTAGCAATTTWGCGAACCATAGCAAAGCTCTTCGTCAAACTAAACTGGAGGRAAACAGCCCGCGWATGAGCAAATCTGCGACCGACRAGCTGACAAATGTTCTTGCTAAATGGCTAGCGATGAACTGCAGACCAATAAATCTAGTGGAAGACGAGGGATTAACAGAGGTGTTGCGAACTGCGACCATTGATCCGTCATACAAGACACCGTGCAGAGCTACAGTGATGACCAAAATCAGCTATATGTACGACGGTGAAAAGAAAAACAAATTAGAGATTTTGGTGAAGGATTCACCCAACTGCGTTGTTATAAATGGAGATCACTGGACATCAGCTGGCAACCACAGCTATTTGGGGGTGACTGGACACTTTATTGACGGTGAGTGGAACCTCAACTCGTTTGCGCTGACCGTCATGAAAACAGAAACCAGACACTTTGCTGTTGAATGCGCGGAACAGTTCCGCAAGGTGGCAATTGACGGGGGAATCGAAAACAAGATACCCACCATCGGTACAGACAGCGCAGCTAACATGCTAGCTGCTATGAGAGCCTTTCCATACGAGCACATCGCCTGCAATGCTCACATTCTCCAGAGGACCATCACTGTCTGCCTCGATAGCAGCGGATTTTCTGGTGTTCTAGCAAAGTGCCGCAAGATTGTTGGCCATTTTAAACAAAGCCCCGCAAGTACCAAAGAACTTAAMCAACAACAAGTAGCCCTTGGAAAAAAGAGTGAGCAACTTATACAAGATGTACCGACCAGGTGGAATTCGACATTGGCAATGGTCTCACGCCTCCTACGCAACCGAGAAGCTGTCCAGGCTACAATGGACCAACAGAACAACCACAAACTGCTTATSCCAACTGAAGCTGAGTGGGGAAAACTGCAGAGGCTGGAGGTCCTGCTTGAACGAAGCCCAAATTAACATCTRTCTATTTTAATGAAATAAACAATTGTCTAATACGTGTCATCCAAAATTAATRAACAGTAGGTAGTTACTTTTAAGGACAATTAAACTGAAAATCAGTTGCTTTAAATTTTATTGTTATTATCTACTTAAGTTTATTTTTCTTGTTTCATTTACTTCTTATCCACCTCTGCAGGTATGTGATTGATCTGCTGGGGGGTGAGGCCTATGTCTCTTGCTCTGTAGTGCTGCCTGCCTTTCGCCATCTGGATCGTGTCATGAACATCACAGATGATGATCCAGCATATGTGGTGAAGTTCAAAAATGCCTTCAGGAAGGACCTGGCAGCACGACAAGCTGATGCCAACGAAACAAGGATTGAGGTGGCCACAGCACTGGATCCACACTCCAAGGATTTGAAATGTCTTCCCAGAGAAAAGAGGGAACAGGTATAAACGATAAGGATAGGATGGACTAATGTGTCCAATTTATCAGATAAAACTTAATATTTATAGCCCTTTCTTTCACACATAAGAAATGCCATAAAAAGCTCTTTATAAAAAATAAAAACGGCCTACTACACCTTAATGACAATTATTCATAAATCTTGTCCATCTGTTCATCCATTCATTCAGGTGTGGACCAGTCTGGAGAACATGATCAAAGCAGCAGAGGYCAGAAGAGCAGCCACCAGCTCCACAGAGGATGAGGAACCAGCTCAGAAGAAGAGGAGGAGCGATCTTCTGCTAGGGTTCGATGACACTGACTCAGAAGAAGATGGAATGGAGTCTGGAGAGCTCCAGAGCTCCAGAGCATAGCCCAGCATCAGCATTGATGACTGTCCCTTGCAGTGGTGGTTTTCTCACTCTGAAGCCTACGAGAAGCTGTCATCCCTAGCACACAAGTACCTGGCCTCCCCGGCAACCTCCGTACCTTGTGAGAGACTGTTAAGCCTTGCAGGCCACATAGTACAAAAGAAGTGGGCAGCCTTGCTCCCAGAAAATGTAAACAAGCTGGTCTGTCTCAGCGACTGGCTGAAGAAAAAGAAATGAGCCATGAGGTCAACATAGTTGTTATGTTCGCTGTAGCCTACTTAAAGTGTTTGTTTGGTGTTATTTATTTCAGCACTTTATTTTGCTAATGTTCATCACTGTTATGGTTCTGTTTTATTTATTTTATTTATCTGAACCAGACGAAATACAATAAGTTCAGTGCTCAATAATTGTATTGCTCATGTTCTGTTTTCAGACATGATGACTTACAGCAATTTATATGGGCCCGATGTTTTGTTTRTTTTTATTTTCCAGTTATTTGGAGATTGACTGGTCAAAATTAAAGATTGCAAGCCAAAGCGTAAATGGTTCGGACATTCCTACCAAGGAGGCTTACAGCTCATCACCCCTCCCCCTGCTTGGTCACTCAGATCACAATCTGGTCCTTCTCCACACCACCTACACCCCCACTGTGAAGAGGAAACCCCCACCAAGAAGGTGATAAGGCAATGATCTGAGGAGTGCAGTGAGGCCCAGAGAGACTGTTTTGAACGTACAGACTGGCAGGAACTCTGCAGACCTCACGSCGAGGACATCAACGCCCTGACCCACTGCATCACTGACTACATGACCTTCTGTGTGGAGAACACTGTGCCAACTAAGAAGGTACAGTGCTTCTCCAACAACAAACCATGGGTGACCCCAGAGCTGAAGGCCCTGCTGAATGAGAAGAAGAGGGCCTTCAGCTCTGGCAACAAAGAGGAACTGAGGAGAGTGCAGAAGGACCTCAAATACAAGATCCGTTGAGGCAAAGAAAGTTTCAGGAAGAAGATGGAGGAGCAGCTCMAACAAAACAAAGTCAAAGAGGTCTGGAGAAACATGAATAAAATCTCTGGCCACTTCAGGGGCAATGGGGAAGCCACAGGGCCTACAGATCGGGGGTGGGATAACGACCTGAATTTGTTTTTCAATAGGTTTGACTCTGGCCCATTCACCAACTCCCCCACCCCCCAGCTCACAACTAGCCCCCACCATATGCTGCTCCCCCACTTTCAGCTTCCTGCACTCTCCTTACCCCCACCAACAACAGAACCAGCCCCACCTAACTCTCCAACCCAGCCTCCCATTCACCTCACAGATCAGGTGAGAAGTCAGCTCAGGAAAACAAAGACCAGGAAGGCAGCAGGACCGGACGGAATCAGCCCCAGACTGCTCAGAGACGGTGCAGACCAGCTCTGTCCGGTGGTCCTGCACATCTTCAACCTGAGCCTGAGTCTGGAGAGGGTCCCTGATCTGTGGAAGACTTGTTTCTCCAGACCTCTTTAACATTGTTTTGTTGGAGCTGCTCCTCCATCTTCTTCCTGAAGCTTTCTTTGCCCCTATGGATCTTGTATTTGAGGTCCTTCTGCACTCTCCTCAGTTCCTCTCTGTTGCCAGATCTGAAGGCCCTCTTCTTCTCGTTCAGCAGGGCCTTCAGCTCTGGGGTCACCCATGGTTTATTGTTGGAGAAGCAYYGTACCTTCTTAGTTGGCACAGTGTTCTCCACACAGAAGGTCATGTAGTCTGTGATGCAGTGGGCGTTGATCAGGCCATTAGTGATGCATTGCAGGATTAATAGATAGTGAATTCAAACATTATTTAACAATTAGTACACATGTAATACATGTGGTGAAAGTACATTAATTTGAGAATTTACAAATATAGATAATTCACGAGTTAATTATGAATAAACATTGAGTATGTTGGTTTTGGAACTCATTTTTTGTGTAAAGCAGTAATAAGTGCGTTATTTAATAGTGTATTAAGTGTGAATTATCCATAATTAATTATCTTTTTAGTGTTAATTAACTGTTTATTAACGCTTAAATAAGGCTAAATAAGGTGTAGTTATTATAAAGTGTTACCGGACAGGGAAAAACACGTTTTATTTTTTTTTCCTTTTCACCGATGACAGAAATCTATCTCGCTGACAGCAAACATGTCAAGTTGTACACATCGTCCATAAATTACAGATTTCACCCATTTTGCAGACGGACATAACAATAAATCTCCCGTTTTTTTAACTCAACTTC